TCCACATAGACCTCCATTGTCTTTCCGATCTGGTTGGAGAACATTCGGTTAACCAGCCGCTGGTAGGTTGTGCCAGCATTCTTGAGGCCGAAAGGCATAACTTTGTAACAGTACAGCCCTCGGTCTGTAATGAAGGACGTATGCTCCTCGTCTGGCCCATACATCAGGATTTGATTGTATCCCGAGTATGCATCCATAAAGCTTAGCATCTCGTGCCCCGAGGTGGCATCAACGAGCTGGTCGATTCTCGGCAGAGGGAAGCTGTCTTTTGGGCAAGCCTTGTTGAGGTCGCTGAAGTCAACGCAGGTCCGCCACTTGCCGTTTGGCTTCTTTACCAGGATCGGGTTGGCGACCCAGGTTGGGTAAAGTGCCTCTCGGATGGAACCATTCTAAAGGAGGTTTTCCACTTCTGACTTTAATGCAGCATACCGCTCCGGATCCATTGCTCTTCTTTTCTGATGAACCGGTTTGGCCTCACAGTCGATGTTTAACGCATGGCAACTGATGTCTAGGCTGATCCCCACCATATCTACATGCGACCAGGCAAATACATCGATATTCTCAACCAAGAAGCTTATCAGTTCGGAAGCAAGCTAAGGGTTGAGACAGCTTCCAATCCTTAACACTCGGCTCGGCTCTTTTGGATCAACCGAAATCTCGGACAGATCCTCAACCGGGCCGCTGGGAGGGATTTTCTAGATTCGTGGATCTATGTTATCCTCCGCTGGACCAGGCTGTGGCTCGATCCGGCTGATCGCCATAGCCTGGCGAGGCACACATCGCGAAATGCCATTTCCCTTGCCTGCCATCTGCGCCGCTTTTACGTAGCATTCGTGAGATGCGCTTTGCGATCCGCTCACTTCCCCTATCCCCGTTGGAGTTGGGAACTTCATCTTGAGATGGTATATGGAAGTGACTGCCTTGAAGCTTCTCAACAGAGGTCGCCCCAAGATTCCATTGAAGGCCGATGGGCAATCCACGACCAAAAATTCGATAACCCTAGTCACCTCGTCGTAGTCGCCGAGCGTGATTGGTAGCTGGATCGTTCCTTTGGGGATCAGGTGGTCCCCTGTAAAACCATAAAGAGGTATCGAGGCGGGCTTCAGGTCGGCCTCGTCTAGGTTCATTCTTTCAAAAGTGGTCTTGAACATGATGTTCACAGCGCTTCCGTTGTCCACAAGCATTCTGCAGACATTATGGCACCCTATCAGGGGCGTGATCACCAGGGCGTCCTCGTGAGGATGGTGCAAGCGAGCTGCTTCCTTTTCGCAGAAAGTGATCGGCTCCTCCTTTCGAGCCTTTAGTGGTCGCTACGAAGTGTTCATTACCCTGATCGGGTCGTGATATGCTTCACGAGCGTACCTTTCCTGCGCACCTCGCGTGTTTCTCGCGAGGTGCGGGCCTCCGAAGATTATGTTAACACTATTGTATCTGCTGCGATCATGACGCTTTTTCTTTTGCTCCCCTTGGTTCTCTTTTGGAGCAGAGTCATCAATATACTCCTTGAAGTGCCATTTCTTGATGAGCTCTTCGATTGCCTGCTTTAGAGCTCGGCATTCACCAGTGTGATGTCCGTTATCCCGATGGAAACGGCAGTACTTTTTGCTGTTTCTGGCCGTAGCAGGGGTTTTCATGGGTTCCGGCTCACCGAGCAGGCTGGCCTCCTCGGATTTGTCAAGGATTGCAAATATGGTCACGTTCAGCGGAGTATATTGAGCTCTGTCTCGGTCGCGATGAGGAACAGGGGCATAGGACTTTTTGTGTTCGTAGCGGGGTTTCTTCCCTTTTCGCTGATCTTCAATGTCTCCTTTGCGATCAGCTCTCCTATTTTCTCCCCGACCAGACATACTGCTTGAAGTGCTGTGATCGCAACGGCGGAGTGCCGCCAATGAATTCACTATTCGGAGATATTTTTTTGCAAGGTTGTAAAATCTGGTGAGGGAAACATCGTCTTCAGCCTGTAGTTCTTTCCACAGGTCGGTTTGTGGGCGAACTCCAGCTATTATAAGTGTTCGGATGGACTCTTCGGGGGCATGAGCCATCTTGTTGAGTTCCCTGTGGAAGCGGTCGATGTAAGATTGCAGGGATTCGTCTCTTTCTTGCCTTATGTTGCTGAGGTAGCTTAAAGGCATCAAAAACTTTCGATTTGCTTGGAAATACCGTAGGAACGTCGTTCTCATCTAAGGCCACGAACTGATCGATCCCGCTGGGACCGACCTTAACCACCGCTTGGCGTGAGAAGTCAGCGTCACGGCCAAACAATGGCATTTTGCAAGATCTGAAACCTAGTAGAGCTCCATCAGGTCGTTGAACTCATACAAATGATCCTGCGGGTCATGGTTCCCATCAAACAGCCACATGTCGAGCATTCTAAACCCCGGTGGGAGTGGAGTAGCTAGCACTTCTGGAGAGAAAGGGGATGCAGAGGCGACCTGGGCCTGCTCGTTTTGCTGCTCCCTTAACCGTTCCAGAGCTTGTTGTAGCTCCTCAATTTGTGGTAACGGAGCCAATTGGGGATTGCTTTCACCCATGCGAGTCCGGCCTTCACGATTACGGTTCAGGAAATTCCGGAGGTCGGACTCCTCTTCGCCTCGGCCAGCATTTCCGGCTGCTCTCGACACACGCTGACTAGAGACGCGTGAAGGCGATGGATTGTGCGGGGCATTTTCACGACCCTCGCGGTGGTACGAACCACCCCGCGAGGTGTGGGGACCACCCGCATGATAGCGATCAAGATCGTTCTGCTGGCGGTGATAGGAATCGTCGCGCCCGGCACTTTTGCTTGGGTTCACCTGCGACGTGGCATGGGACAGCTCGGGATTCATTTTTTCACCGAGTCTCAGCTTTGCCGGCACCCTGCTAAGGGCACGGTTTGTGTTTGCTGGTCCTTGGGAGCCTGTAGGCTTACTTTTTGCCACTTGCTTACCCTTACGTCTACGCGCTGCAATGCTCGTGGCACGGGCTATTTCCCTTTGCCGTGCTTTCGCGCGACCTGCAGGCGTTTTTGGTCGTTGCACCGCCCCAGCTGTTGTAGATGATATGCCTTGGTCCAAACGATCCAGCCTCTGGTTGACCGTCTGGAGAGTATTGTCGAATCTCTCCAGGTAGCTTCTGATGGCGGGGTCAAGCTGCAAAGTTGCCGGGATATCCACCGCAGCATTTTGTGAAACTGGAAGTATCCTGGAAGGGGTATCCCCCTGGGTTAGGGGAACTCCCTCAACGAGCTGGTTGGCTTGCGCAGGTTCAGATTGGCGGGCCATTTGTTGCTGTAGGACCAATAGGTTGAAGATTCTCCTAATGAAGGATGAACACTAAATCAAGCCCTCCTTCTAGCGCCAAACTGTTGATGCGTGATTTTAACACCAACTAATCGACACGTGCGCAACGTTGATTGGTCAAGAGACACACGTGATTATGGATAGAAATCTGAAATAAATGCAATGAGAGCTTTTTAAAGTGGTTCGGATGTTAAGGTAGCAAATCCTACGTCCACTGATTTGTATTAGTATTGTGGATCAGGTCGCACAGCAGACTGACTTACAAATGATTGGGAAAAATAAATACAAAGTTTACAAGAGAGAGAGAGAGAGAGAGGGAGAGAGAGAGCTAGTTCCCAGTGTGAAAATAGCCGAATCCCCTTAATGAAGGGGTCTTCCTCCTTTTGTAACAAGATGAATGCAAGTAATCATCATTAAATCCTTAGGTTGGTGTGAATGTCAGGACATAATCCAGCTTTACGTCACATTGCCCACTTCCCAAGCTGATTTCACGCGATTTGGAGCAGGGAAATGGACACGTGAGAGCTCCATAGCATTTGGCAGGCCTGACGTGCGCTTACCGTTCTGACGGGAGCAGGTCACACTTCATCACGTGATTTCCCACGTCAGCCCTTGATTTCCCAGGCATAACACTTTTCTTTCAATTATAAAATTCAACGAAATCAAGTTTAGGAGTGAGGACAAAGAGACGTGCCTTCACTGGCTTTTCAATTAATGTATTTTTCTTAAAAAAAATATCAATTCTTATTCTGGAAATTTATATAAAAAAAATTCTTAATCCACAAGGATGATTGGATTCCACATATCTCCCACAATGTTGTGGCTATAGCCTTTTCCCGATTTCATGCTCCAACTCAACAACCCCATGAATCTTACAAGCTCCTAAAACTGAAGCATCAGCCTCAAGAGGCATATTTTTTATAATCTCAGCGGCTTCACTCAAAAGCCCAGCTCTTCCTAACATATATGTCAACCACACACCCATGGTGTTCCGTTATTGGTTTAACCCCAAAAGAATTAGACATTGAGTGAAATAATTCCAAACCCAACTCCACAAATTTAGCACGTCAAGAACAGCAACAAAAGTAACCTCATTAGCACAAAACCCTCGTTGTTTCATCTCTCTTCAAACATGTCCAAAGCTCCCTCTCTCTTGCTAGACAATATTGAACAGTTGCATTCCTAGTACATACTTCCTTGTAAACCATTAATTGAATTAAAAAACCTTGTTGATAGTAGCCCAAACAACCCGCCTTTCCGTAGAAATCAATCAGCGCCGTCCCCATGTAAAAGCACTTACAAACCTTTCATTCCTCAGTCCTCACAATACATCCATGAACTTGCTTCCCTAAATAAAAAACAAGACCCCAACTCTCTCAACCAAACCAGCGCATAAAAGAGTACAATAACATAAGTAGCCTCATTTGGTTTCACTAAATCTTCATTCACAATCATATCCTCAAAAACCTAATTCCTTCCACAAAACAACCGTTCCTCGTAAACCCATTTATAACTCTAGTCCCAGAAACAATCACCATATTTGCACAATGACGTTGTAAGATTGTTCAGATAATTTTTTTTTTGGGTAATGTGAGTATGATTCCGTCAAACTTTTTTCAGCTTTGGAAATATTAGTTTGACAAATGCCCACGGACTCAGCATTAAGAAAAAATGGATGATAAAATACCTATGATAGCTTGATTCAACAATTTTTACATCGAGTAAAAGCAACAATGAAGAAGATCTAATATTAGTCTCATGTCATCAGCAGGAACATTTATCATCTCAATCCTAGGAGCTTCTTTTACAATTTACTCAAATATACAAAAAATAATGCCAAAGCAGCAGATTTAAATATGGTGGATAAGGGGATCCCATATTTTCCTTTCCTAAACAGACCTTCCACAATCGGCCAGAAAGCTACCAACAGAAACACACTGCAAAAGAACTCAGCTAGGCCTGACCCTTTCCCAACTGATATTGGTTGTGGCCCCAACAAGCCGGTAGCCAATGCAGTCAAGTGCACCAGCACAACCGTCGTGACTGACACAAAAACCGGGGACTCATCGAAGACAAATTTACCTTCATCATCATCATCACCACCATCACTAGAAGTAGATAGACCTTTCTGTGTAATTTCAAAAACCATCTCAGATAATCCTAAGAGTTTTAGTATCACATTTATAACTCCAAACAACCACGCAGTCATTGTCACAATTCTTGCCATACATTGGCCAACCCACCATGAATAAACTGAGAATCCAGTTCGAATGAACTCTGATAGAGTATATAGATGGTGGATCACAAAAGGAGCCACAATAAAATATATGCCTGGTTCTTGTACCTGCATAATTTAACACATGCTAAACAGTGAGATTTTGTTTACATGTGATCCACTTCAATCTTAGCGGTTTCCCTTTTTACTTGAATCGACTTGAAAACATGTGACACCAATCAAGTAAACCTTTGAATGCAAATTGACAAGATGCAAAGTCGATGTGACAGCTAGCACAATGAATATTGCCAATATAAACATATCATAGGGTGGTCTTATATAATAAGTTGTTTAAGGCACAAATAATCATATATGTCATAGACAAAAAATTTATTATTTCGATATATTATATGTATAAGAAAACAAAAATACACACTTTTTTACGATCAATATGATAAAGACAGCTCTTATATGATTCATTTAATCGCCATCATAACAATAAAAAAAATATAAAATAATTATGTTAAGTTTTCATCCTACTTAAAAGTTTGAAACGAATTGATATAAGATGTCAACTTGATGTAGTATTAGAGTCAAAAATCTTAAGTTTGAATTCTCACATAAGGATAAAGAAAAAAATATCAAATTTGACATGAGAGAGTTTATTGATCTAATATATGTTAAGCCCTCGTCTACAAAATTAAGCTTTTAGGTATGAGTTATCATCCACCATGACCCGTAAATGACAACAATAATATTATACTTATAAAGATTTTCATATAAAGTGAGGAGGTAAAAAATAAAAGAAAGAGTAAAAAAAAAAAAAAATAATAAAAAAAAAAAATAAATTAATTTTTAAAAAAATAAATTATAAAAAGATGTTTGTAAAATTTGTTTGTAAGTGCAGCATTACTGGAATGACAATTACGAGGCCATCTTTATGAATTAACAACTGATACGAAATTATTGAGGTATTGTATGTAGAAAAGGACATATGACTGCTGTAAAAGTCCATAGCCCTTACCTTGGGCAAGAAATTAGAGTTGGTGAGGATGCAATAGGCTGGCAGAGTAGCATAGCAAAGCTCAAAAATGGAACGGAAGCCCCAAACAAGGAGCCACAAATACGCCAAGCATTGCCTGAATTGAAGTTTGCCTTTGAGGGTACCAATTACTGGATTGTGTTTGCTGAAAAAGATTTCAAGCAGTCCAGTTGTCCACCTCTTTTGTTGGACCATCACTGCAGGCCCATCAGGTGGAGCACATCCTAGAAAAGCCGGAGGGTCTGGTGAGCAATACCCACTTCTCCACCCTTTTGTATGGATGGTCAACCCTGTTAAGATATCTTCTACTAGAGATCCATATATCCACCCAAACTGAAACAAAAACCATCCGTATATAATAAAGATGTCACCATTACTTCAAATTTTGGTACTTGCTCGGAGTTAAATTTCAATTTTGATCAGTTTGATGTGTTTGTTTGCCTAATGGATAGAAGAAAATGAATACTCAATAACAAGCTGTTGAACATGTTTTCTCCTTACCTTTTTACCCCAGCCAGTACCGTATTCATAGCTACAACTTGCAACTTGGTGAGCTGCCTCAAGAGATTTAGACAGGTTGCTGGCAAAATAATCTGTCTTCCCTTTCAAAGCATGAACGGCTGATGTGATGAATTCCTTTGAATTTCCACATTCTTTTAGTAACACATTATCATATAATTTTCCTGTAAATGAAGTCAGAATTTTTAAGACAATTAATATTGGAGAAAATATTACCACATATCCTACTTTAATTTATATCTTTACCTTGATTTTCCGCTTCATCCGGCCACAAACCATAGATAACTTTTCGTCTATGAAAACATCCTGTACCTCCATAGTAAGGTCCTTGAATTCCCACTATTCCTTTCCCGATATACTATATATCATAAGCAAAACAGTACATAAATTATTTGTAACGGAGTTAGAATCTCTACGCCGTGGCTCAATTATTCTTAGGTAGAACTAAATGAACAGAAAATTTCCATTTGTAACTTAAAGAATGAAAAATGACTCACTTCATGCAAAAGCAACAAGTCTTGTGGCCTATCATAGAATAATTGTGGACACTGAATAAATGCGCAGTCTTGCTCATTCTTAGAACCGAGCATGAGACACATTGCCTGCTGAAAAATCTGTGTGTTGTTGACAAACATGTCGCAGTCCAAATTAAGCATGAAGGGAGCATCTGTCATCAACCCGGACACTCGAGTCTATTTAGCATACCAAAATTAGAAATTAGAATCATAATCTATTTGTTCACAAATTGTCATTAATTTGGCTCAGAGGAGAAAGAACAACTTACTAGTACATTCATAGCTCCTGCTTTGTAATGATGGGGATTCTTTGGCCTCTTCTCTCTCGATACGTAAATTAGATGTGGCAACCCTTCAGGCAGACCCTCCTTGTTCTCCCATAGGACCTAAAAAAGGATTAATCTAGTTAAATTGAATCTTTTGGTTCCAGAGAGACTTAATCATCAGTTTATTTCTATTTTAGTACTGGTAACAGGTCAACCTGATTAACCAAGTAGCAGCGCAAGACACAAAATATGTTAAGGGGCGTAGAATTGACTATGCTCGCAACTTAAACAGTGGCTACCTTGACTATTGTCGGATGGTTTCGCAATTCAGTTTGGGAGAAAACAGCCAGCTCGCCAGTTAGACCAATGGGAAAAGGCTGTTGCGCTGCATTCTCTATGCATCTGCTAAGCTGCTCATACTCCTCCTATAAAACATGAGACATATTTTTGAAAATAAATAAATAATGGTATAAGACAATAACGTTTAGTCGGCATACAACTATTTGTTTTTTTGTGTCTTTCATTAAGGATATATCGACACGAATAAAATATGAATAATGTTAAGTCTTATTTCCCTTCTTACTCCTTTCTCTTACTCTTCATGTGGTAAGTAGGTGTAAAAAGAGAGAGAAGGGAGTAAAAAGGGAGATTAATATGAGTGAGTTAATATCCCTTTTTACTCCCTTCTCTCTCTTTTTTCACTCTTACCACATGAGTGAGTAAGAGAAAGGAGTAAGAAGGGGGTGTAAGGCTAACATTACTCATAAAATATACTGAGACTAATATTTGTGCACGAACATTTGATAAAGAGAAATTCTTTCTTGTAAAATATTTTTCATCAGATGACAAGTTTCATACTTAAAAACCTTTCTTTTACCTTCATATATTTCCATTCCTTTTGGAAATCCCTAGAATTTGCACTGGACGGTTTCGATTCATCCAAGAAGTACCGAAACGGAGCTCCAACTTGAATATTGTTTTTCCTACAGAATGGCACCCAAAGCTTGGCAAATTTGGTTGCTTCAACGAGAGAATAGAAGATTAGAGGTGAACAGCCATCATCAGAGACATAGCAGGCTAGTTTGTTAGCTGGATAATCAACTGCTAACAAAGACAGCACAGTGTTCACTGTGAGGATAGGTGGCTCTAGCACAGCATCAGCCGTTGTTACAAACACGTCCATTGGTGGAAGTTCCGGCACCCTGTTGAGTTTAAACTATTATTGAACAATTATACAAATAAATCATATGTCGTGATCAAAACAAAATATTTGTGTTATTTGTTACCGTTGTTGGAGGCGTTCAGGAAATGGTTTGTATAACATAGGAGTCCATCTGGTGCAAACAATGAGAATCCAATTGAAAGTGAACCATAACTCGCATAAGAAGGCGAGAAACCAAGCAAGTCCATAATTGTTGAGAGACATGAGACGATAGATTAAAAGACAAAAGAGAAGGAACAAGAGAGCGACATCTACAGCTCTTTGGTATGTGTTTTTGGGAAAAACCTTTTCAAAAAGAGGCACAGAAATTATTGGATTGGCCATGGAGAAGATATGAAGTGTTTGTTTTTCTGGCCGCCTGACCTTTTTAGTGGCTATAATGCTTATATTGAAGTTGTCCCAAATATTGTGATTATTGATTTATATTGAATGTTTAACTTTTTTACTTGAACGACTGGATTTGTTTTATTTACATGGAAAGAGTCAAGAGACACACATGCCGCCCAGTAACATTATTGTGTTGATAGATCCAGGGCTTACAAATATTTATTAAAAATATGGAAATTTAGACTTTCTGTCGAAACCTTATTTGGTACATTTACGTAAGTAGTGACGAAAGTTCATCCACCGTCGGGACTCGGGACTGACTCTCCTAACAGAACCACATAATATTTTATGGTGTTTGTTTGTTTTATACATCTCTTCTTCGCATGCATTGTATTGTCAATACAAACTGTAGAAGAAAGTGAAAGCTCGTCAGAACCTGTTTTATACGTCTCCTCTTCACATGCAATCGCATTGTATTGTCAATACAAACTGTAGAAGAAAATGATTAAGAGAAAACTTCTTCAATAATAAAATAATATTGAAGATACATCCTTATAAAATGTTATTAAGTGAAAATTTGATTTTAATTTTAAATTAATTAATTATATCTTACCACGTAATGTTATATAAAAATTATGTATTTGTAGTATTACTCTCTATATTATTATATGAAACAACATCACAACTAATTTAAATATACATAAACTCTCAACATCCCAATTTTTTAATCGTATTGATCCCATCATTAAAACTTTGAAGTTTTTTTTTTTTTTAATTTGCAATTCCAGTGATTTTACCACAAGTTGATGGCGTGGAAAATACAAGGAAAACCTAAAACATATATATGCAGAAATTTTATGAAAAAATTAAATTAAAGTGTTCACTCAAAAAAAAAGATGAGTTTTTGTATAGCCCTGCATTGGTATAAAAATTAAGAAAATAATAATGAATCCATTATAACTTGTAAAGAATTAATCAATTGAAAGACTTACATGTTATATATAATATTAATCATTTATTTGGACCCTTATGCACGCTTCATTGACAAGAGAAAATGACATATATGGCCAACTAATGCTATCTGTAGAACAAGGACGATATTTGCTCAATTAAATATTCTTAAATCATATGATTTCCGTTGTGATACATAACTCTATCATATGCTAAATGGCTTTAATTAATGATTTAAAGTTATTAAGCAATTAATATACCACCAAATCATATCCTAGCTGCCTTATCAAGAGATTGTTAAGTTCACTAGTTCAGGCCAATCCTTTTCAAGAACCCCAAGAGTCCACCAATTTCAAACCCATATACGACCACCTTCCGTTAACAACAGATACACCAGCTTTGCAGGAAAGAGATTGAAAGTGTTGATACTCGGTTTTGGCACCAACTAATCGTCACGTGCGTAATGTTGATTGGCTAAGAAACACACGTGATAATGAATATAGAAAGCGAAATAAATGCAAAGAGAGTTTTTAAAGTGGTTCAGATGCTAAGGTAGCAAGTCCTACGTCCACTGATTTGTATTGATATTGATAACGTGGGTCAGGTCGCAACAGCAGACTGACTTACAAAAAGTTGGAAAAATAAATACAAAAGCGTGGGAGAGAGAGAGTTTCTTGTGTGAAATTGTCGAATCCCCCTAATGAAGGGGACCTCTTTATTTTATATCAAACTGAAGCGTGTAATCATCATTAAATCCATGGGTTGGTGTGATTGTCAAGATATAATCCGGCTTTATGTCCCATTGCTCTCTTCCCAAACTGATTTCGCACGATTTATTGCAGGGGAAAGGGACACGTGTGAGCTCCATATCATTTGGCAGGTCTGACGTGTGCTTGTTGCTCTGACGGGAGCAGGTCACTCTTCACGTGACTTTCCCACGTCAGCCCTTATTTTCCCAGGCATAACAGAAGCCCCCTAGTTTTTAAGGTTTGAGGATCGAACCTTGGAAACTAAGTCACATTGGAGGTTCTGGTCACTCCGACCTGAATGGGATGAGCTCGGCACAGGGCCTTTGGCGAACACGACCTCGCGCAATTCCTTGCCTAAGTGACCTGACAATCTTCATCCTCGCGACCTGGATTTGTCGGATGCTCCTTTCCGTACCTTAGGGTTAGAGATTCAATGAACCTGGTTCCACGCTGTCAGGCGCTCTGCACGCACCGCAGTGTCTGCCAGGAACATTAAATGCGCTGTGCTGATTCGGCGTCGTTTCGATAGCTTTGTCTGCACGACACATTTGAAACGACGACTCCTATCAAGGCATTTAACGCGACGTGGGGCGCATTAAATGCGGGGAGAGGGGGGGAAGGCTGTCATTTTGGTTCCGAGAAGTGGTAACCGTCGATTCACAATCTGTATAAAAACTCACATTTTTCAGATGAGGTCACGAAAACTCCTTTCGCTTCGAGTGACAAACCTTTGCAAACCAGAAATCATTCTTTTCCGACCGACGCTTCTCAGGCAACTGAAACAAGTTCCGGCCTCGGTTACGCATTCCAGAAAGTAAGATTCTCCTTTCTTTCTCTTTTTTTTTTTTTTTTTTTTTTTGCATTTGTTTGGTTGGTGGGCAATGGCACTGAGTCTCTCGATGTTCTACCAGAGACACGCCATTGTTGCCGGATTCGAGCCGTGGGTGGCGGCTCAAGTTACTATTAGGGTTTTAAGAATTTGTCCCCTGCCGCCGCACGGGACAAAACACGAAGGCCTAAATGACCGTGTCTGTCGATGTTGCAGACTCGAATGGATCCGTCAACGTCTAGACCCGAGGAAGCGGCCAGTTCGTCCTCGCGGGACTTTCCCGAGGACGCATCCCTTGATGTCTTCTCGGTTCTCACCCAAGAGGAATTTGATAGGGTAAAAAAGCAATTTGACGTCCGCACGGAGGTGTTTCTCGACCATACCAGGTCGTCACGGTGCCCCTCAGGTGGCCTTGCTGCGATCTCCGAAGAGATCTTCAAGGGTGGAGGCAGGATTCCCCTCCATCCTTTCATCAGGTCGGTCCTAGATCACTTCGGGATCGCACCGATGCAACTCACGCCAAACGCGTATGTCATCGCCGTCGCGATGTACATCGCGTGCTGCGAAAGCGGCTTGGGTGAGCCAACGGCAGTGGAGCTCGGCGTCGCCTATTACCTCAAGAAGAGTAGGGACAAGGACTCATATTATTTGTCTCGACGACCTACCATTGCCGCGGGGATACATAGCTATCCCAGCAATACGGGGGGCTACGAGACAAAGTTCTTCTTATTCTGTTATGACGGCTAATGCCGCTTTCAGGATCCAAGTAGGTTTTTCTTCGCTGGGTTCATTATCTGCTCGCATGATCTATAATAACGACCTGTTCTTCTTTTGCAGTTAACAGAACGACCAGCCAAAACTTACTTGCCGACCCAGATAGGCTCGTATCTTTTGGAGTACTGGACGAGGAGAGCCGAGACGCGAGGAAGGCAAACTTGCGGAAGTACGGTTTTTTCAGCAACAAAGCGTCTTTAGAACCCTTGGAAGGTAAGGTTACGTTAATTCCCGTCCTGGTCGCGAAGCAATTTTGTTTACTAACGAGCTTAAATGCAGAAAACATGCCCCCGAAGAAGTCCGAGCAGCCTCGTCGAGCTCCGTTTGTCCCTCGATCGAGGAGGGAGAGAACGGCCGAAGCTGCTCGTCCCATTCCTGCACAACCGGTGCGAGCTGCTGCACCTTTGCAGCCCCCTGCGCATGAAGCGACCAGGGCAGAACAGGTCGCTCAGGCACCACCAGCACGCCCAAGGCGTAAGGCTCCGGCCCAAAGGTCCAAGAAGAAGAAACAGGTCCAGGCCGAAGAGTCTGAGACCGAATCCAAGGAGGAGCCCTTGAGGTCGCGGAGGGACTCAAGGAGGTCGGGCAAAGAGCCTGCAGGTGAGGCGATCACCTCCGACAAGGCGAAGGACGCACCAGTGCTAGACTTATTGGGGAGTCTGCCCAAATACCTGCAACCGATAGTCTTTGGCCTACTCGAGTGCGAGCTATCGGAGTCATACAACGAGTTTGCTGATACGGGCGATGACCTGATGACCACGTCGTTCCAGCATCTAAGCAAGGTAAACGAGCTGTATTTGAAACTTCATTCTGATTTATTTCATTCTGATTTATTTCTAACTCGTATCTTGCTCACAGGCGTTACTTGCGATGAGGATGTCTATGGAGAAGACATGGCTGGGAGCCACGAAGGGGGCCAACGACCTACAGGAGGAGGTCGCGAAGCTCAAGAAAAGCTTGGAATCCGTCGAAGCTGAAAGAACAGAAGCATTCGATGCGGCGAAAGGTATCTGAGCCAAAAGGATGCCGCTTTACGAACGGTGGATTTCCAAAAGATGGAACTCGATCGACGTGCAGAGGAAGTTAAGGAACTTCAAAGGACAACCACCAGGCTCTCCAAAGAGGTCGGAGAAAAGGACCAGGAGATCCAGGTGACCTTCACACGGGCTCAGCGAGCTGAACAAGAGAGGGAGGCCTCTGAACAGGAAAGGCAAGCTCTTGAGGCTGAACTCCAGGAGAGTCGCGAAAGGATCGCCTCACTGACTGAAGAGATGCAGAATCAGTCAGAGGAGATGGAGGAGAAGGCCGCCGACTGGGCGATCGGGTGCATTTATTCCCTCCGATCGAGGAACCCAGATATGGACATTTCCGACCTCCCGGAGGGGTGGCAAGCGACCTTGCGGATCATGACCGAGGAGGACGATCAGGAAGCCGCGGCCGCCCAATGACCCAACCAGGCAGGGGGTTCTAGTTCAAAGGATCCCCCTGACCAGCCGTAATGTAATGAATCGGCCCCATCGTAATTGGGTCTTAAACTTTTGTTTGTACATAAATGAAGACACTTTCTTTACAATTGTAGTTCGCTTTTTCATATATATGTACAGTTTACAATTGTGATTTACATAGGCAATTACATACAAATTCTTACATGCGAACAGAACACGTGCGAACTGTTTCGAGCGAACAAAGTAATACCTAACATTAAAGAAATTAACAAAAACTGAGAGCTGAGTTTGGGATTACTGATAGTATGGCCGGAGGTGCTCGGCATTC